TATATATATATATATATATATATATATATATATATATATATATATATATATATATATATATATATATATCAAAACAATTTTGATGAAAATAAAAATAGGGTTCATTTTTATAAAATTTAAAGAATTAAAAAGTTTTAAAATACTTGTTCTTCATTTTCTTGATACGTAAAATTATTCAAAAATATTATTAAACTAATTAATAGAGAGAAAGGTATTGAAAACGTTCTTAAAAATTAGCGTAAACTATATATTTTATCTCTAAGTTAGTGACAACCTTAAACACACGTATTCACTTGCCTAAATTAAACTTAGGTATATCCCTGATAAATCTCGGATCTGTCACAAGACATATCAAGTTGTCTCAAATTTTCGTAGGAGCATGGAGCTCTTACTAAAAGGCTGAGAGAAGTGTAGAAAACAATTTCAATCTTAATAAGAATTTAGGAGTGTATTTCACTCGTGTAGCAAGATTGGAGGTGTATTTAATTTCAATTAGTCTAGTAACTCCTAAATTTTCATGAAGATTAGAATTGTTTTCAACACTTTTTTTATTTTTTATTAAGGTCTCATAATCCTACAAGAATTTGAAACAACTTGATATGTCATGCGAAGATTGGGGTGATTTAAATTCATTTAGTCAAGTAGAAAAGTATTTTTAAAAACATTTGATAATTTAAGAATGAAATTAATAATTTAGGCCAAGTTGAACGGTCTTTCTAGTTATTAATAACTTAGAAGGGTAGGGTGCTTGGCACGGCGTCGTTCTGGAGGCAATTGGCTTGTCGCCCAAGAAGTGTGTATTTCATTCAGAAGCAATTCCATTTTCCAAAAAAAACATAAAAAGGTTAGAGGGAAGAGCTTTCAACACTCAAGAGATCGGAAGAAACTGAAATCACACAGAGCCCAAATTTTTCAATAGCTTTTAGTACTATCAGATAATGGCTAGATACGACAGAGCGATCACCGTTTTCTCGCCGGACGGCCACTTATTCCAAGTGGAGTACGCCATGGAAGCCGTACGCAAAGGAAACGCCGCCGTCGGTGTACGTGGAACTGACACTGTTGTCCTCGGCGTCGAGAAGAAGTCCACTCCCAAGCTTCAAGACTCCAGGTACCTCTTTTTTTATTATTATTTCGTTTTAAGATCTAAAAAAACCAATACTTAGGTTTACTCTGTCATTCCGCGAGATTTAGGGTTTTTCCCTCAATTCATATTAAGGTCGTCTTTATACGTTGTTAAATATCTTGGTTTCTGGGTAGTTCAACTGGAAGGAGAGAAAGCTTTAAATAATTTTCAGTTTATCAATAGAAGGTTCAATATATGGAGGGCAAGTGATTTTCAATTTTTTCCTTGCCTTTTGCCTGAGCAAGTGGTTTTAGCTGAACTTTTATCATCATCTGGACCTAATGGTGTGTATTATAATGTACTTCTTATATGATGTGCTGGAATGTTGGGAGGAAACGTCTATCAATGAGGAAAATATTTACGGTTCAAACCTGAGTGTGTTAGGTAACATGGATAGAAAGCAACCCAAGCTGCTTTGAAAGTAAATAGATGCATTTCAGAAATTGAAATGTTTGTGTTAATGGATTTTGGCTTTTTGGCATAATCCTCTGGGTGTAAAACATGAAAGTAACATGCTTGACTCTATAGACTCACTACAGGAGTAGATGCTTGTATAGATGGAACCTTCTCATTTTGTTTTTGCTCAGGAAGGTTTCAGACATGTAATTCCATGAGACCATCTTAGTGCCTGTGTTTCTCAATCTAATAGAATGACATATTTACCTGTTAAAAAGAAATATTTGCATTGTCATTGATATCAATGTCAGAGCTTTCTATTTGGATTATGGCTTTTCCCGGTTTGGCTCTAGGTTATGTGTTTACTTTATTTTTCAGGTTATGTGTTCTGTCAAATACATAACACCTAAGTTTACTTTGTTCACCCTCGTCTAGTGTTCTTGGTGAATAAATATTGCTGTTGCATTTTATTTAGTTCTCCACCTGCTTTGAAACCCTAAGCTAATTAATCTCTTTTGTGTTTGCAGGTCAGTAAGAAAGATAGTGAATCTAGATGATCACATTGCGTTGGCGTGTGCTGGGCTGAAAGCAGATGCACGAGTTCTTGTGAATAAAGCACGCATTGAGTGTCAGAGTCATAGGCTTACAGTTGAAGATCCTGTTACTGTTGAGTACATAACTCGTTACATTGCTGGTCTTCAGCAAAAGTACACCCAAAGTGGTGGGGTGAGGCCATTTGGTCTATCCACCTTGATCATTGGTTTTGACCCACACACAGGTGTCCCCTCACTTTACCAAACAGATCCATCAGGTACATTCTCAGCTTGGAAAGCCAATGCGACTGGTAGAAACTCCAACTCTACTCGGGAATTCTTGGAGAAGAATTACAAAGAAACATCTGGCCAGGAAACTGTGAAACTAGCAATACGTGCATTGCTTGAAGTAAGTGGCCTCTGTTTATTGTTGTCCTCAAGTTTTCCTTTCACAACATCATAAATGATGTGAGTTTCTGTTGCATGTTAAGATCTGAGCCTTATATTGTTCTGCTTCTCTTACAATATCGGTTTTATCTCGAGTTGCTTTTTATCGTCCTATATTTAGATTTTAAGAATGTAAGGGAACATTCAGTTATTAAACTCTTCCTTCCTTCCTAGTTCAGTCAATCAAATAAGCTCGGTTCCAAGATTGTTGGTAATATGAACTCTTTTATCCATCCCGCACTATGCAGGCGCATTTACAAGGTAATATTTGTGAAGTCACAAGATAGGAAGTGAAGTTTATTTTGCCCTAGGAAAGATGTTAAACATATTGAGAAGTGAGTATGAAAAGTAGTAGCTGCATTTTCTGCTTAGGGAGTGAGCATCTTTTATTACCAGAAATCCAAATCCTTCAAAATTAGTGCTCTAGATGTTTGTTCTGTTTCAAAGAAAAGTTCTCTAGGAGAATGGATTAATCGATTGTGCGTGCAAATTGGTGTAGGTACAACAGTTATTTATACAAAACACGTGCATATGTCAAAATCCCTCTTTTCATGGCTGGAATGCTGCTCTTTATGATTCCACATAAGTTATCAACTTTGATTTGAACGCTGCTCTTTATGATTTGAGTTATTGACTAAATATTGTTTAAGCGGATTGAAATACATGACAGTTTCCGTTCGAGATTTCTATGTTAGTATTTAGGGAACAAATGCACGCATCCAGCAAAAATAGAAAGAGCATAGTTGGATGTGAGCATTGGTTTTGGCTGGAGTGATTTTAAAACATGTGTTTCCCTATGAATCAGGTTGTTGAAAGTGGTGGAAAAAACATAGAAGTTGCTGTGATGACAAAAGAGCATGGGCTTAAGCAACTTGAGGAAGCTGAAATTGATGCCATTGTTGCTGAGATCGAAGCAGAGAAAGCTGCTGCAGAAGCAGCCAAAAAGGCCCCACCGAAGGAAACCTAGTTGAGCTGAAATTTGTTCTTAACTATCCCTGAATCCTTTCTTTTTTCGGTTCAAGCCAAGTGCAGTGTTATTTGAATTTTAAGATTTTGGTCCGTCTAAAACTTTTACCTTTGTTAAAATTATGGGACTAAAAATGTCATGCACTCATGCACTCGCGATCTCTGCCCTACTTGTGTGTTGCTTGATATTTTAAAGTTTTATCATGTTATTTGGTAGTTCTTGTAGTTTGAAAATTTGGTTGTGAAATATCGACATTTGTTACTGCTCTTTTCTTTATTCTGAAGGTATGTTGTCGACAAATTGGTGGAACTCGAGTAGAAAAGCTTGTGTTTGAATGGTTTGCCATTTGGTTTTGATCCACAGCCTAAATGCAGAGTATATGCACCGTTCTGGGATAAACATTTAAGCCATTCCTGTAGTGTGAAATGTTGTGGTTGCTTGGTAGAGTGTTAGTAGCAAAAATAATGCGCATTAGCTCTATGTATTAGTGGTTCTTTGTTAGCTCTATGTATTAGTGGTTCTTTGTTTGGTGCACTTTTTCATGCTATATATAACTAATGCATTTTAATGTGTATTGTTAATACTATGAATTTTTAGGTATTAGTAATACAATATGATTTATTACATGTATTAGCATGGTTAGAGATTCAATTTCTCTCAAAAGTTTATCTTTTCCATTATAATTGAAAAAAAATATTTTTATAAATAAATATTTAATTTTTTTTATGTAATGCATATTATATTTAATACACCAAATTAAACAAATAGAAGTATAACTAATAAGAGTAATACTAATGAACTCTATTGAACATTTTATTTTTATACACTATCAAATGATCCTCACTTTGGAACAACTTCAGGTATGGATTTTATTATTATTATTTATAGGATGAGATTTATGTTTAGTCACTTTTCTGAAGTTATGAACTGCGATTTCTAGAGATGTTTTTTGTGCGGGTAAACGTATGGAAGTTATTTAGGAGAATTTTAATTCTATATATTATTAATATCTTATTTGGTACGCCATTTCTATTTATGTATAACTAAACAATTTAAAGTGTATTAAAATACGTATTACTAATATCATGGATTTTATTAGTAATACAAGAGACTTAATGTATGGTGAAAAGTTCAATATAAATTACTATTTTTATGCAATTGATGCAATTTTAAATACATCAAACCAATCGATACGTCAAAGTTATTTATGTATAATTGATACAAGCAGTATCAATACATTACTTTTATACATTTACCAAAACAGCCCTAAGTGCATTCACATGTTAGAATTTGGGCATCTGATTAATGTGGGAGTCACAAGTTTATGCAATTGGATCAAGAAAGAAACTGAAACACATTGTTAAAAAGATGATAGAAAGTATTACAACGATGTCACAGAGATCCTTGGAATAATGTTTATGCTTATTTTGCAAGGGAGAAGACTGAAATGAATCTTCCAGTAGTGTTGCGCGTGATTATATAATTGGCTCATATTTATGCGATTCTAAACATGAATTTATTATAATTTGAAACGGGTGGAGAAAGAAAGCTTCTCTCTTCATATTGTCAAGTAAAGAAAACAATACATACAAAGATACAAGCAAAAATCATCTATTACTGGCAATTAGATTTACAGGGTTTCAACAAGAATTTTCATCAATTCACCTCTAGATAAATAAATCATCTCTTTTTCCAAAAAAGATACTAAATATAATAGGTTTCTACAATCAAATCAGGAATGTATTTTATAAGAAGTATTCTACAGATAATTTTATAAGCACAATATGACGACTCACCCTCTGAACTATTTAGCCACATACATACACAACCCTTTTAACTTGCACAATTTCACACCCCCAGAATCGACTATCTGTGCTGCACCGACTGTGCAGTTAGGCCGTGGGTCAAAACCAATGGTAAACCATTGAAAAACAAGCCTTCTCTGCTCCTGTGTTCCACCAATTTATCCACAAGAAACTTTCAGAATCCAGGAAAGAGCACAAACAAATGCTGATATTTCACAACCAAATTTCCAAAATACACAAACTACAAAATAACAAGATAAAACTTTAAAGTATCAAGCAACACACAAATAGCAAAGAGATCACGGGAGCATGACTTCTTTCGTCTCATAAAATTCAAGGAACGCTGCACTTAACTTGATCCAACAAAGAAAGTATTTAGGGATAGTTAAGAATGAATTTCAGCAGAACTAGGTTTCTTTCGGCGGGGCCTTTTTGGCTGCTTTCTCTGCTTTGATCTCAGCAACAATGGCATCTATTTCAGCATCCTCGAGGTTCCTAAAGCCCATGCTCTTTTGTCATTACAGCAACATCTATGTTTTCTCCAAAACTTTCAACAACCTGATTCGTAGGGAAACACGTGCTTAAAAATCACTACAGCCAAAACAAATGCTCACATCCAACTATGCTCTTTCCATTTTTGCTAAAGGTCTAGTTGGATGAGTGCATTTGTTCCCTAAAAACCAACACAGAAATCTCTAACGGAAGCAGTCATGTATTTCAGTCTGCTTAAACAATATAATTAAGTCAACAACTTGAATCATAAAGAGCAGCTTTTAAATCATAGTTGATAACTTAGCATGTGTGAGTGCATATGTACGTCAGAAATAAATGATCTAAAATACAAGTCAGGTCACCTCTTACAACGAAGAGGTAATTACTTCCCGTGAATGAGCAAGTCATAATTCATAAGTTCTTGAGGCGTTTAAGAAAGCCCAAGTTTGCCATGGAAAGAGGGGTTTTGACATATGTGGAAATCATAGGAAGAAATTCTTCAAATGTCTGCGGTATTCAATTGGCCACTCCTAAATAACTGTGGTATCTATGCCAATTTACACGCACTCGACTAATCCATTCTCCTACAGCACTTTTTTTTTAGCAGAACAAACATTTGGAGCACTCATTTCCAGGGCAGAAAATGCAGCTACTCCTTTTCATCCTCACTTCTCAATATGTTTTAACAACTTTCCTAGGGAAAAAAAACTTCAATTCCTCCCTTGTAACGTCACATATATTACCTTGTAAATGCGCCTGCATAGATCAGGATGAATAAAAGATATTACCAACTATCTTGGAACTGAGCAAAATTGATTGATTGAACTAGGAAGGGAGGAAGCGTTTAATAACTGAATGATCCCTTATGTTCTGAAGATCTAAAAATAGGACGATGAAAAGCAACTCAAGTTAACACCGATATTTTAAGAGAAGCAAGACAATATAAGGCCCAGATATTAACATGCAACAGAAACTCACATTATATATGATGTTGTGAAAGGAAAATATGTAATGAAAACGCTTGAGAACAACTATAAACAGAGGCCACTTACTTCAAGCAAAGCATGTATGGCTAGTTTCACACTTTCCAGATGTTTCATTGTAATTCTTCTCCAAGAACTCCCGAGTAGAGTTAAGAGTTTCTACCAGCCGCATTGGCTTTGGGGGCTGAGAATGTACCCGATGGATCTGTTTTGTAAAGTGAGGGTACACCTGTGTGTGGGTCAAAACCAATGATCAAGGTGGATAGACCAAATGGCCTCACCCCACCACTTTGAGTGTTCTTTTGCTGAAGACCAGCAATGTAACGAGTTATGTACTCAACGGTAACAGGATCTTCAACCGTATGCCTATGACTCTGACACTCAATGCGTGTCTTATTCACAAGCACTAGTGCATCTGCTTTCAGCCCAGCACACACCAATGCAATGTGATCATCTAGATTTACTATCTTTCATACTGACCTGCAAACACGAAAAAGATTAATTAGCTTCTAGTTTCAAAGCAGGTGGACAACTAAATAAAATGCAACAGCAATACCTAATCACTGAGAACACTAGACAAGGGCAATCAAAGTAAACTTAGATGTAACGTATTTGACTAAACACATGACTAACAAATAAAGTAAACTGATAACCTAGTTATACATATAACAAAAGGATTACAAGTGCTCAAACTCCTAATCTTCGACCACCAGAGAAGAGACACCCTTTTGTCCTAGTCTGTATTACATCATGGAAGTTGCCATTTTGAGACAGTTCATTCTCGAGGAAGGGATAATTAGGGCATAGCCAGAATATGTCAGAGTAGTCTTACATCCACTTGGTTCAGGCTCCTTACATGACCAAATTTCCTGAAAAGCTTTTTTAAGCTGCTCGGTGGGGCCTTTATTTTATATCCATTGTATGGATTTCTTTGTCAATCTCCAAGCCCGGCCCTCCCTCGAGGGGGAAAAAACATAATACAAATAGAAAGCTCTTGACATTGATATCAATGACAAAGAAAATATTTCTTTTTCACATGTAAATATGTCATTCTATTAAAACAAGAAAGCAGGCACTATGATGGTCCCAGGGAATTACATGCCTGAAACCTTCCTGCGCAAAAACAAAAAGAGAAGCCCGAGAAGGTTCCACCTATACAAGCACCTACGCAGGTACTGAGTCTATAAAATCAAGCATGCTACATTCATTATTTACATCCAGAAGATTACACCAAAATCCAAAATCCATTGACATGAACATTTCAATTTCAGAACAGCACCTATTTTCTTTCAAAGCACCTTGGGTTACTTTCTATCCATATTGCCCAATACAGGCAGCCTTGAACTGTAAATATTTACCTCACTGATTCGCATTTTCTCCCAACACTCCAGCACATCATAGAAGAAGTACATTATAGTACACCGCATTAGGTCCAGATGATAATAGAAGTTCAGCTAAACCACCTGCCCAGGCAAAAGGCAAGGAAAAAAAATCACTATATTTTGAAGTTTCTATTGATAAACTGAAAATTATTTAATTCTCTTCTTCCAGATGAACTACCCAGGAACCAAGATATTTAACAAAATATAGACATAACCGTAAGTAAATAAATTGTTCAGTTAAGGGGATTAGGTTAGAATAATTTTACTAAAAATCAAGTTGATTGACTAAGAGCCTGTTTGACCTTCACAAACCTGTAAACAATGAAAGTAAGAGAAAAGTTCATGTGCGCAGGTGTTCAAGAAGAAAACCTTTTGCCTTGGATCCTTGCAGTGTTGCATACTGGGCATAGAAACTGAAGTCATCATACTCAGCCAGAGCCAAACTTTCGGGGTCACTATCAACCTGTCTTCGATATACTTTTTCTCCTCTTGATGAGTCCTTTTATCAGAGTAAAATAAGTGGACTTTTGTAGATCAATACCTCTCTGAGTGACTTGTGCATATATAAGCATTGCATCCTTGTATCTTCCTTCCGCACAAAGCTCATCAATCTGCTGTGAATAAGCGATTGAACTTGATTCTAGTTCATCAACTCTGAGTTCATGTTCCCTGTCATCCATTTGCAACCGCTGTTCAGATGGCCTTTCTCTGTCTATCATAAATTCTTCTGCCTCTTTAAGCCTTCCAGCATCAGTAAGTGCACCAACAATAGCATTATGTGTGTACTTATCACGCTGGATATTTTTCTCTTCCATTTCAGCAACAAGGCCCAGAGCATCATCAAGTCTTTGATCTTTACAAAGAGCTGTTATCAAGGTGTTATAAGTTACTACATCAGTGGTCTTCCCTTTATCTATCCACGTATTAAAGAGCTTAATAGCTTTTTCAAGCATGCCTTCCCTACTTAGTCCCCTAAGAAGAATGTTGCACGTATATACATCAGGCTTAAAAGAATTTTCAACCATTTTGTTATGAAATTGAAATGCTTTCTCAATGTTCCCCTCCCAGCAGTATCCATGAATAATAGTATTATATGTTATTTCGTCAGGAACTATACCCTTCTCCAAAAGTTCATTCAGTTTAGCAATTGCCAGCTGAGTTTTACCTGATTTACATAGCCCTCCAATTATGATGTTGTAGGTGACAATAGTGGGAATTACCTCTCTCTCTTCCATCTCATCCCAAAGCTTAAGAGCTTTTTCTGTATCTGCACATCTAAAGTAGCCAGCAATAAGAGTGCCATAACTTACTGCATCAACAAGATAACCCCTGGTAGAAGCAACAGAGAGCAACTCGTAGGCCTCATCAAGCTTCCTTTCTTGACAAAGAATGTGAAGCAATGTATTGAGAGAGAAATTATCCATTTTCAAACCTTTTTCACCTATTTGTTTCATTATCCTCAATACTTCTGGTAGATTTCCTGCTTTACAATATGCACTTATGAGAGTATTATAGGAAACACAATCTGGACATAAACCATCTTCTTCCATCTTTTGAAGTACCTCTCTAGCTTTATCCATCTTCCCTTCCTTGCAATACCCTTTAATCAATGTATTATACGTAATTTCATTACATTTGATCCCCTTCTGATTCATCTCTTCAAGCAGATCAAAGGCCTCTGAGCTTCTCTTATTATCAAGACACCCATTGATGAGGGTGTTGTAAGTTTTCACATCAGGCAACAATTTCAATCCTACCATCTCATCCCGAATCCTAATTGCATCATCAATCCTTCCTTCATTACACAGACCCCCAATCAACATATTATAAGTCCAAACATCAGGCAAAGTATTGTTCTGCGTCATCAGCTCGACAATCTGAGCAGCATCCTTCAACCACCCAATTTTACAATAACCATGTATCAAGATATTATATGTATTCCTATTCGGCACAAGACCTTTACCCTTCATATCCAACAACAAATCCCTAACCTCGTTCAACCTACCTTTCTCACACAACCCATCCAATATAGTATTATAACTCACATTATCGGGCACACATCCAAACTCACTCATTCTATCCAGCAATTGATTAGCATCCTTATACTTGTAAGCTAAACAATACACTTTAATCAAAATATTGATAGTAATTGTAGTTGGCACCAAACCAAGCTTAAGTGCGTCATTAAACAGCTCATTACATAAAAACAGAGAGTGAGTGGAAGGGTACCTAACCAAAGCAGTAATCAAAGTATTGAAAGTAATGATGTTAGGGCAAAGTCGAAGGCGCTTCATCTTCTTGAAAATCTGAAGTGCGAGATGGGGTTTTCCACATTGGCAGTAAGCACCTATAGCAGTATCCAACAATTCGGTTGAGGGTTGAGGGAAATTAGAAATGGGGTGAAGGAGATGACGATGGAGAAGATGTTGAGGGTGATCAGAAGGGATAAACGTGAGGAGAAGGGATCTTGCAACGGTGAATCTGCGATGGGACAATAGGGAGGATAAGATAGGGAGAAGAGAAGGGAAAGGGAGTGGGTGGGTGGAGAAAGAGGGTATGTGGGATTGAGACCATTGGAAGAAGGAGAAGAGAGTGGAAGGGCGAGAAGAGAGAGGGGGAGAGGAGAGAATGGAGTGAATAATGGGAGGAGTGAGGTGAGGGAGGTAGGATTGAAGAGAGCATTTGGGTAGAGATTTGGGGGAGGAAGAGAGGAGAGTGGTGATTGTTTGAACAAGTTGAGAGGGCTTCAATGGAGGATATGAAGAACTCATGGTTACACAGAGTGGCGCTGCGGGGAAGAAGGGCTTAACACAGGTTTCAGCCTACCTGTTTTAGGTGACCTGCGTTCAAGCTTTTGCTCGTGTCTTCTTTAATTTTTATCGTTTATAGTAAAAATGAGTTACTTTTTAAATGCATCCAACTATGACTTAATTTCATTAGATAAATTAAGTTAAATATTGTTAATTAGCCAGACAAACATTTACCCTTAGTGTAAATAATAAAAATAACTCATTGTGTTTAACTTTAATTTTCAAATAATATGACTTAAGAAGTTAATAAATATGTCTTAAGACGTTCGTACCATGACACAAAAAAGAAAAGTTCAACTTTTAAATATAATATATAACGTCTTAAAACTAAATTATGTTCTAGCAATTTTCACTTTATATTGTGAATATATTTGTTGTCTTGCAATTTATTTTTCAAAAAATTATTAAAGATATTATTATTATTTAAAATGGTGAAAAACATATTAAAAATCCTGATTTTTGAGGCAAAAGTTAGGAGTTTTTTGCTAAAATTATTTTGACGTGTGACTTAAACCTAAAATACATTTTTGTGTTACATAAGTGAACAAAAAAACATGTTTGCATTATCCAAAAGGTTGCAAGATTCATTCTTCTGTCTAGTTTTTAAGAAACTCACTCACCAACAAAAAAAAAGTGTCAAAGTCGAATGAATATATATGCACATGGTTAAGTTAGTCAAGTCGAGTGATTTTCCTAATTTTTTCAAATTGAGGATTTTAAATCATATTCATACAAAATACATTCAAATTCTAAACATTCTTTGTAAAAAGTATGATCAAATACAACCTCAACTTTAAAAATTTCAAATAAAGTAAATTTTTTTTTATTGCCATAACTAAACGCCTACATAATTTCACTAAATTTTCAACATTTTTGTACATTGTATAAAATGTGAATTGCATTGTATATAACGTACATACGTACTGAATATTTGATTAAATAAAATCTTTAAATAGTTGGACGTAATATTTTTTAAATGAATTTTATACATAAGCTTTTTAACCATCGAAAGCTACCGTATATATATTTCAGAACTTACATATTGTTGCAAGTCAATTTACTTGATGATGCAAAAGAAATATATAAACTAACAACACACAAAATTTAAATTCTAAAATGAAAGATTTATTTCTTATCCATATCCTTGTTATTTTTAGGTAACTTTGATCTTGTCGTTGTGGCTAAGACATGATCAAACTATTTTTAAAAAAAAATTGGTCTAATCAGTTTCTTAACCCAAAAAAAAGACCGAAGGATGATCCTTGTTATATTTTGGATAGTATAGTGATATTTTTACCCACTTAAATAACATAAAAATGTACATCATATTTAAGTCATACATAAGAGATGATCTTAGCCAAAAACTTCAAAAACGAAAGATTACTTCAAAATATGGGAAATCCTACTAATGATACGGGAAAGTGAGAAAAAAATGAAAAGAATAATTGTATAGAATGACAAACTAATAATATAAAATAAAAATAGTAGCTACCTTTTGATTTATTTGTGTTCCATAGTAAATCGTTTGTCAGTCCATCTCTCCTTCCCTCGTAGTCTCACTCACCACTCTCCCTCTCTCGCTCGCTTCCTTTGCTTGCCTCTCTCGCTTTATACAATAGAACTGTATAAATAGAGTTTCTAATTGTATAAAGCGAGAGAAAATTGTATATACACATGCAAATACATATATCTCTGTCTTATACACTTGTAATTATACAATAAAAGTACATCTCTGCCTAAGTCTCTTTTGTCTTTCTCTCTTTCTCGTTTATACAAATTCAAATTGTATATAATTTATCTCTTTCTCGTTTTATACAATTCTATTCAATTGTATATTCCCTACCTAAGTCTCTTTTGCCTTTCTCCCTTTCTCGTTCTATACAAATTCAAATTGTATATAATCGTCCTATAGACTTATAATTATACAATTCTTTTTATATACTTCGTTTTATACAATTCTCTCGCCCAAGTCTCTTTCTCATTTATACAATTCACTTCAACTGTACATGTTTAGCGAATTGTACATATATATATATTTTATAGAGCACATTTATGCAAATTTTGTTATAATATACAAATATGAATTTTATGTTTGCTATACGTGAAAGTTGCCAAAAAAAAAAACTATTAAGTAAGGATTATTAAAATTTTGGGCTTAGTTATGGAAGGATGATGAAGTGGGCCTTAATGGGCTGGTCGCCTTTGCAGTGTTCGATCTGTAAAATTGGGAGTTTTGTTCAATTTCATCTTAACTTGGGCTTGGGCTCTCCTAGCATTGAGGTTTTTAAACTACATAAATTCCATTGGTTTAGATTTTAATTATTTTTATTTCTAATAGTTTTAAATATTACTTTCTCTACCATATTTTATATTTAGGATATATGAACTTGAATCTGTAAGATATATGTATTTATCAAATTTTAAAATTAAAATATGTATTTTATTTGTTTGAACTAATTGGTTACAATTAAATTTCTTAATATAAAGAGGAAATGAAGGAGTGTATCTATTTTAATTAATTTCATTTTATTATTATCTGAAATAATAAGTTTCGCTAATATCATTTATAATATATAAAAACATACATATCCTAGTCATGCAATTTGATTTATTTCATTTTATTACTTTTAAAATAATAAAATTTATTAATTTGATGTATCTATTATCAATATATGATGTATCCAACAAACAAAACACTTAGATACGTATCATACATGTAGATTCATATGTACCATAGAAATATCTAATATTAATTTTGTGTATTTGTCTAGTATTAATTTCATGTATCTATTTATATGATAATATTAATTTCATGTATCTATTATTAATTCGATGTATCAAGTATCAATTTCATACATTATATTCAAAAATATGTGTCTCGGATACATAACAATATTCATACTATTTTCTGAATTATGAGCCATTAAAATGGAGCAAACAATATAAAAAAACTACAATAAATTGGCTAGAAAAAATCTAAACCATTGAATCAAATACATGATACGATTGACAATAGAAAAAAACAAAGATAATCTTACTTTTTCACTTTAAATAATACCTAATTATATAGAGTTTGATATGAATTTAGCACACGCAAAAGGAAATAAAAAATGGTTAAGGAAGAAGGGATACATGTGGGAGTAGGAATGAGATATAATATTTTTTGTGACAGGGGAAGGAAACGTTTAATGAAGAAGAAGAAAAAGGGGTAATTGTGGAATATGTGAGGTATCTATTTTGGGATTGGGAAGGGAAACAATTGAAAAGAATAAATCAAAATTAATTAAAATTGGTAGTATCCAACTAATTAAGTAAATGTAATTTTATAATAATTATTCATTATCATATTTAAAGGGATTATGTATCTGATTTAATTTTTATAAATATGATATATTTTTTCAAAATGTAATATTTTTAAAAGGCCAAATACCATACGCAGGTCCCTAAAGTTGTTCGCGTTTTTCTCCCAGGTACCTCAACTAACCAAGATTCCTATTAAATCCTTTAACCCCTATAATTTGATCCTTTTAAATATTTTTTGCTGATGTGGAGCCAAATTTCAATAAAATTTTTTTGGTAATTAGGCGCGTGAGATGAACCTTCCCCACGTGGAAATTTTGACCAATACAGTCCAACCAAATTACACGTCAGTGCCACATATTATGTCATCAAACCTAAAAATCAATTTTCCCCCAAATCACTTTTAACCCGTTTCTAAACGAGAAACCCTAAGAATCTCTCATTTTCAATTACTTTTACAGCTGAAATTCTTACATTTTATAGTGATTTCGAGTGTTTTGTTGAAGGAATCATCGAAGATTGCAGACGATTTTGGAGTTCATTCGCGATTTTCGAGTTGACGAGTGTGAGGTAAGTGACGAGCATGTTGTTGTGGTTGTGTGTTTTAATATATGTGTTTATCCTGTGTTTATTATTGATATATACTGGGTTTTAGTATCAATGTGGTTGTTGTTGTTAATATCTAGATAAAGTTAGGGTTTTGGTTTTATTGTTCATAACTGTCAGAAAAATTTGGAGCCTTGTTTCAGGGAATCTTATGGACGCCATTATTATAACTCGTTTTCATCATGGTGGTAAGTTTATTCAGGACAAAACTGGAATTACTTATAAAGGGGAAACCGAGGTGGAATATGTTAATATCGACAAGGACCACTTCTCAATAATCGAGTTACTTTTTTACACTAAACAATTGGGGTATATTACTGTTGGTGGGTTCTGTGTTAAAGACCCCACAAAAAATGGCTTTATTGAGGTGGACACTGATTTAACATTAGTAAATCTCATCAAAGACCTAAAAGATGGTGACTTTTTAGACATTTATGTAAAGCATGTGGTGGATGATTTAGAAGTGGTCACAACAGGTTTGCTTTGTGGGTCTGTCGTTGAAGAAGACTTAGAAGATATAAATGTGACTGCAAGTGAAGGGTTAAATCATGAGGCTGAATTTGAAAATGTTAATGTAGAAGTTGAGCCAGGAGATATATCAGATCTAGATGTGGAATGGATTGAATCAAATGAAGAAAGTAGTGATGACTCTCAAGAGGATGCTATTCCTGATGTGGATGACTCTGAGGTTGATGAAGAATTAAGATCTCTTAGAAAATGAAAGGAGAAACAAAGTGAAAAAGAAAAAACCTAACCTACTCAAATTGAGGAAATAAAGCTTGGAACAGCCGGTGTTGATAGAGGCTTTGAAGACATAGGAAGGAATAAAGCTGCTAGATACACTGGAAGACTAGGGGGTGATGAGCAATATATAGATAGCTCAGAATTGGACAGTGAAGACAATAGGGATGAATTGGATTCAGAATTTGTGAAGGGTGTTGATTTACCAAGAAGAAGAAAAAGTAAAAAAGTAAGATTTGATCCTGATTGTGTTGTAGCAATTTTTGAGCTTGGTATGGTGTTTGAAAGTGCTGAACAATTTAGAAAAGCTGTTGCAGACTATTCTTGTCAATATAAAACTAGGTTAAAATTGAAGCCTAATGACAAAAAAAGAGTTAGAGTTAAATGTGAGGACAAGAAATGTAAATGGTTGTTGTTTGC